CGTCGAATTTTTATATATAGAATTTGTCTGCCGTCGCCCCTCTATATTTCCTTAATGCCCCCCAATTCTCTTTGAGCCTTCTACTGCCCCCCTGAAAGCCTCCAGCGCCCACAAGGGGGCGTTATCGCCCACTTTGAGAAACGCTGCTTTACACCATCAGGCTATACAATCTGCAAAGAGTTAAGCACCAGCTAAATTATTCTAATATTGTTTACTTTTTTAAGTATTTCCATATTCAAGGGTTTAGGCCCCTTATATTTGTCTCCACAAAGAGGTCTAACTAGTATGACAGTAATCATATTTTGTTGATCATCTGTTGTTTTATCCACCACCAAGTATATATGTTCATTTTCAAGCTCATTTAGTAACTTTCCCAGCTTTGTGAGAAGCACGTCTTTCTTGTGGGACTTTCTGAACGTTGATTCATTGGTAATTCTCTTACACAGGTATCTCTCCAAAAATGATTTATGTTGGGCTTGATAGTTTGGAAAATGAAATTCCTGTTTCACACATCACCTTATACAGGGTGTATTTTTTACACCCTGTATAAGGTGAAATTTTATACAGGGTACATTGAAATAACTTAATTGGATCTCATTATTTTAGAAAAAGGTATAGACAAAAGTTGTAGGGTATCAACGGGGCCAATCATTGGTTACCTCATATCTGACCTTGACCGTGACCTTCAAGGTTATTTGGAGGTCAAGTCTGTATTTTTCAATGGAAACATATATTTTTGACCCCGGAAATGGAAGAGCAGGAAATTTCACAACTGGATGTACCTTTGACCTTATTGTCTAGGTCAAAGGTCAGGATTATTTTAAGATTAAAATTATAAGCTTTTTCTAATGCAAAAACCATACTTTTTATAACTGGAATAGTCAGGGAAGTAAAAGTTCATTTTTTCATGACCTTATTACTTTGAACTTTAAAAGCATTCACTATTTTTAGCACTACAGAAGAGTAATGATGTGATTGTAGTAGTTTTCTGCTCCCTTTGAGGTGCTTATTTTCAGCGAGTCCCCTTGCCTCTCATTATCGTAGTGCTTGTTTTCGGTGAGTCACTTTAATTCTCACCATTGTTTCAGATGTTGGTTTTGGGGAGAATTTTATAACAAATGTTCAAAATGATGTCCTTCAAGTTTAATGCATTTTGCTTTATACAGACAGAATAAAGTGATTTTTTCAAAATACTTAGCAGATTATTCATCTCTTTATTCAGTTTGTTCAGAAGGGCATCATTTTGAACATTTGTTCGAAATGATGCCCTTCAACTTTAATTATTTATTAATGCATTTATTGAGCTGCACTTACAATTATCACGCTTGAGATGGCCTTCAGAGGTCAAATTTCGGGTACTCAAGGTCATGCCTGATTGCGAAATTTCCCATCATTTCCATGTAAAATTGTAAATGTAACATTTACTTCCCAGCCTATTCCAGCAATAAAAAGTAATGGTTTTTCCCATTAGAAAAAGCTTATAATTTTAACCTTAAAATAATCTTGACTTTTGACCTAGACAATAAGGTCAAAGGTACATCCAGTTGTGAAATTTCCTGCTCTTCCATTTCCGGGGTCAAAAAATATATGTTCCCATTGAAAAATACAGACTTGACCTCCAAATAACCTTGAAGGTCAAGGTCAAGGTCAGATCTGAGGTAACTAATTGATTGGCCCCCTTGATACCCTACAACTTTTGTCTATACCTTTTTCCAAAATAATGAGATCCAATTAAGTTATTTCAATGTCTCAAGATAAAAAATACACCCTGTATAAGTCAAAATTGAAGTTATCATTTGGCACAGAATAAATCCCCATTTTTCTGCAACTCTGATATAAATAATTGTTACACTTACACTCAGCATTTCCAGGCAGTTTCACACTGTTCTCGTGTTTAGCTGTTTGCACGTGCTGTTGAATTTGAAATTTCCTGTCACAAACAATATGTGCATTGCAAGAATCACAATGCCCATCAGTGCTAAATATTTCAGGCCCAAAAAATTCAGCGATACAGGACCTCAACAAAGATGATTTCAATGACAATACTTTCAGCAGTTTAAATCTGTATCCAATAATGTAGACCTGACTCAAGTCTATAGCAGCTTGTCGCAAGCTAACAAAACGAAACGAACCCCATTGTATAAATAGCTTTTAGGAAAAAGTAGGAGAGATGTGGTCTAGATAACAAAGTTAGAAGTTGAATTCTTTCTGGTATTTTCCTGTCAAAGTGTCCAATGGGTAGAAACAGGTTGTTAATTATTCAATCATGAAACAAACCAATGAAAACCAGTTTGAAAAAGGCATCATCATCCAGAATATATATCCATATATTTTATACATATCCTATATTATATACATATCATATATTATATATACAGTCGACCACCCTATAACACGGGTTCCTATAGTTCTAATTCCTATATCACGGCGAAAAAATTGCAACAATAATCGTGCAAACATGCTAAAAAAACCTCCTATAATTCGGTCAAACGTCATCGCCGACTCGTGTCGCGACAGGATTGGTCAAATCTAGAACAATAGCGGATATTGCACAAACCGTTGAGTTTAAACAAGCAGCGGACCTACTAAAAACCATTTATTATTGAACGTACATAAAAATTATATTTATATTAATGATGTCTTGAAATAATTTATCAGGAAGCACGTGAGCGCCATTTGATAACAAGCTCCACGACGAAAAGAAGCTTAAGCAATGGCATAGTCGAACGGTTCACGCTCAGTAAGTAATCTTACAAATTTTTGTTTATAGCATAGTTTATATGGATTATTCCCAAAAAAATATACGTATTTTGGAAATGTTGAGTCAAATTAGTCTAGAATCAATTAATTTTATGGAAGAAACCTTTCAAATAGCCGTAGTCCGTAAACTGCATACATGCCGGGCTGTGATTGGCTGGACTCGTAGAAAATGGATTCATGAAAATCGGAACGTATCTATCGTGTTATAGGAGGTCGACTGTATAACCATATATTATACGTATCCATATATTATATATATATTTCCATATATCAGCCGGAATATATATACATATCTGACCAGAGAGTCGGCACCATACTGCTGATGTCTATGTCAGGATAAGCAATGGCGATTCGTTCGTTCACGCGCGAGCAATCGTGTGTATGAACGGTCAGATTCGAGAATTGGACGACCTGAGAGACAATGCTGCCAGAAGTGCACAATACAACTTAATTAAAAGTACCCATTTATTTTTTAATATAATTATATTATTTACATGTATAATAAGATAACATTACAGCGTTCTAGCATCATAAAATAAATAAAGTTTCGGTAGCGTAACATTTTGTATTGCTTTATACTAAGATTATACTAAGTTAGCCAAGAGAGAGAACTTACATTCTTACGCGCAATGCTAAATACCTTGATCGGTCGAATTCGCTTGATCGAAGTCTTGAAGTCGGAAAACACCCTGATGACATGGTGGAAAGGTTTCTTGGTTGGGAAGAGTTAGGCTGCATGATGATACACTTCACAATCAAAAGTTCGTTTTACGATATCTGCGACAAAGGGCAGTCTAAAGGATTGGCAATGAAACACTCACACAGCAAGGATGTCGGTTCTGATGTTTGTCTTTTATTTCAGGAGTTCAGGGGTCCTCCCTCTTGATTTGATGCTTTTTTATTCAATGTTACGTTTTTTTTTTACCAATAAGTGAATTTTGGATGAAAGTTCCTTGTGACAGATGCGTTCGGAAAATGTGTAACTTTTGGAAAGGAAAAGATCAGGGAAAAGATGCAATCATATCATTTCAGTTTTTTTTGTGTTGGGAAATTTTTTCTTTATATATGTGAAATTTAAACGTTATTTTAAACAAATTTGATATTTTCGTTGCAGTTAATTAAAATTCTACCTCATCAAGTCTCTCACAGATATATTATATATATATCCATCAGCCGAAATATATATCCATATATTATATGTATATATATATATCAATATATGTAATTTCTTTGGAATTGAAGAGGGGAAATTGGCTAGGAAAGTTTTTAGGAAATTGGTGAAATATGCCATATTTAGATTTAGGTCTTTTTAAACTAAAATTTTCTCAAATATGCATTTTACGCTTTATTTCCAAAATATACATTTGGAGGTTTTTATAATTGTGCTCCAGATAATCATGTCAATGAAATAATGGCAGATTTGGAACTTTCAATGCAAGGACATCGCGCAAAACACTTTGTGAAAAATCTAAAACTCCGGTTCCTAATTAGAAAACTTTTAAAATTCTTTTTAGTTCCATTTTAAGCTGTGATAAGTATGGAAAAACAGCACTATTCATTTGTTGAAATAACATTTTAGTAATTAATGGAGTTAGTTATTTTATACTAATTTCTACTTGCACAAGTGGTCTTCGAACATATCGCATTGCATACTGTACAGCCCTACTTATTTCATCCAACTGTATAATATATAGGCCTACATACTTGCATATATTTATTATTTATTGTATATTTTCACTTTTTAATAGTTGAAACTATTTTTATAGGAAGCGGACATTCTTTACGGATTCATGTACGTTACATATGATCGAGTACAAGTTGTAGATTTTTCTTCTACGATTTCAGCCTCACCTACAAATTTTCTTCTAATAATTCCAGAAAAAAAGTTTACTTGGTATGCTATATTTCAACCATTTTCTTTTCAGGTATGCAAATATACTTATAATTAAGCGATATTTTATTTACCAAACATTTACATTCATGTTTATATGACTAACTCTTTTTAAAGGTTTGGTTGCTGATTTTCACATTTCTCTTCATTTCTGCATTTGCCTTGTTTTTTATGATACAAACACACTACAAAAGAATTGGGAAGAACTTCCAATTCTCATATATACTTTGGAGTCTTCATATATATACTTTGGAGTCTATTTTCAACATTGATTAATCAAGGTAAAATTATTCTACTAATATATTCAATAACGACCTTCAAGTGTAATTTTTATTGTTTCTCGTTGCAGGAAGTAACATCTTCAATGAAGTCGAACATTTTTCTCTCAGATTATCATTTGGGATCTGGTTATTAGCCGCTTTTGTTTTATTGTCCAGTTTCAGTGGATGTTTGGTATCCTTTCTGACTGCTTCTGGAAAGCCTTTGATACCGAAGACATTTCATGACCTAGCATCTGCTGTCAAAAGAGGAGAATATGAATGTGGAATATTTCAAAACGTTGCTATCAAAAGTTTTATAATGGTAATAATGATAAAGCCAATAAGCCAGTGATGACAAATGCACTGTTAAATCCACTCGTGCATAAATCATATAATTCCAATATATTATAGTCTAGATAGTCAGAAATCAGGAACCACTTTCTATGTAAGGGTCACATTTCAAACTGACACGAGCGGTACACAAGAGAAAAATTGTGGGTATATCACAAAAGTGTATTTACATATGATTATGAATTAACATTTGTGTTTTTAATGTGACTTCTAGAGCTCATATGAACATAACGAATCTGATAGATTTGATTAAATATTAGTCATTGCTAGTTTTGAGATGCGACTGTCAGGCAATATCTTGTTTTACTTTTTACTAAATTTATTGCCGAAAAACTGTTCAAATATAATACATTAGTTTTAGGAAGTGAGGATAGAATTTTTATTGATACTTAACTAAATTGGGAAATTGAATTTCTTTGATAAATCTTTTATAAAAATCTATCAGATTTGTTTCTTCAAAAGTTTCTTTCAAATAAAAATTTCTTTTTTATAAAACGAAATTTAAAAATACAAAGTATTAAAGACCTATACAAATAAATGCCTTTTTGCAGTTTTCCTTGTCATCCTTTTCACAATCACATTATTTACAGGAACATGATCTACATTAGCAAAGTCAAATTTTTTTTGTGATTATGAAAAGGGGGACAAGGAAGACTGCAAGAATACGTATAAGTCTTTAATATTTTGTATTTTTACAATTGCATTATATAATATACATAATTGATTATATACAGTCGACCCCCCTATAAGATAGAGATACGTTCCATTCTCTAGGAATCCGCTTTCTTACGAATCCTTCCAATCACAACCCGACACGTATCAAGTTTACGGACTACGGCTGTTTGAAAGATTTTCTTCCATAAAATTAATCGATTCTAGACTAATCCGACTCAACATTTCCAAAATACGTATATATTTTTTGGGAATAATCCGTATAAACTACGCTATAAACAAAAAATTGTAGGATTACTTACCGAGTGTCACCATTCGACATTGCCATTGCTCAACATTGTTTTCGTCGCGGAACAGCTCAGCAAAGAGCGGCCGATTTCTAACAACTTATTTTTCTGTGAAAACTTCGTAGAACTTCGGAGACATCATTAATATAAATAATTTTAATCGCCGTTGAATAAGAAATGTTTCTTTCACAAGAAATGTATAAAATTACAGTACTGTATTAGACTTACGGTACCTAATTTACATACTGACAGACGATAGTTAGCGTAAAAATCTCCGTAGCGTGGCGCCACGCTAGACGGCGGAAATTATATATTTAATTATAACAAAGTTACAATAAGTTAATATATAATTATATATACAGTACCTAATTTATATATAATTAATATATAATTATATGTACAGTACCTAATTTATATATAATTTATATAATACTGTCCAGACGATAGAAATCTCTCCGTAGCGTGGCGCTACGGACGGCGGGAAAGTAGTTCGGCTTCCCGATGACGTTTGAGGTGTTTATAGGGAACTTTTACTATTTTTTACGGATACCGGTAGCAATTTTTTCGTAGTTTTATAGGAATCGTAACTATAGGGACCGTAATTATAGGGGGGTCGACTGTATTACTTTATAGATATGCAAACAGTAGTTCTACTTGGCTAATCCAGGTTCTACTGTTTATGTGTCTCAGCCGAATTGTTAATTTATCTGCTTCACAAAGCATCTAGCTGTTCGATTACGAAGTTGAGGTGTTTCTGTGTCTAACAATCATTTTAGCTTCAATAGAATCCAAGTGTGAAAATACAGTTGACCCCCCATAATGCGGTACATACGTTCCACTTTATAAGAATTTCGTGTTGTAGAAATCCTTAAATATATAAGCCAATCACAGCCTGGCACGTGTGCAGTTTACGGACTATGGCTGTTTGAAAGGTTTTCTTCCATAAAATTAATCGATTCTAGACTAAGTTGACTCAACATTTCCAAAACACATAAATTTTGGTAATAATGTGTAAAAAGTATGCTATAAACAAAAAATTGTAGGATTACTTACCGAGTGTGCACCGTTCGACGTCGCCATTGCTTAAGCTTGTTTTCGTCGCGGAGCAGCTCACCAAACGGCGGGAGCGTTTTCTGATAAGTTACTTTTCTGTGAAAAATTCGTTGAACTTTGCAGACATCATTAATAGAAATAATTTTTATGACCGTTGAATAAGAAATTTTTTTCACAAGTAATGTATAAAATTACAGTACTGTATTAGATTTACAGTACCTAATTTAGGCCTATATACTGTACAGACGATAGTAAACTCAACTTACCCGCCTAAACTCTCCGTAGCGTGTAAGTAGTTCAGCTGCTCATCCACTATTGGTCCAGATTCGACCAATCCTGTCGCGACACGAGTCGGCGATGACGTTTTACCGCATTTTATGAGTCTTTTTTAGCGTCTTTATACGAATACGGTCGCAATTTTTTCGCCACGATATACGAATCCGCATTATATGAACCCGCGTTATAGGGGAGTCTACTGTACGAGGGCACAGGGTCAGTACTCTAATATCCACTTACACGTCGAGTTGGTAAAACTCGCCCACGTTGTCGTTTCAGATGGGTTTTTATGAGTGGCGAGGAAGGTGAGCAAGTCGGCAGGCGTCCTTTCAGAGACAGGAGACAGGTTAAACAAAATAAAGCATTTATTAAAATCTAAAGTTAACAAAGTCAGTTAAATGCGATTAAATATTAGATAAATATACAAAGGGGGAGCTCGCTGCATCTAAGACTATTCTCAGAGAGAGAGAAAGAGAGAGTTCACAATGCTCTATTAAATACCTCTACAAGGGAACGAATGGTAGCGTTGAATGGTTCGTAGGAATATTAGTCCGGCGTAGGAACTTTAGTATGACGATAAGTATATAAGTTCAAACCCGTGGTCTGTCTTCTACCGATAACTTTTTCTTTCATCTATTCGAGTCCGTTGTATGGAGGTCTGGGAGACGAGATGCACACACTGACAAATATAACTTCCTTCGGATCGCCCTGCTTTCCAGGGTTCTAGCTTTTATTCGATTGTCGTGGGAAAGGAGCCACATGATCGTCAAATGTTGACAATAACGGTGCATTCTTGACACCTTGGTGTCAAGTTTCCCATCTAATTGTTATCACAAACGGTGATCTCCGATCTAATTCTCACTAAGGAAGTTTTTTCTATCAGAGTTGTTTACATTTTTTTACCGGACAACTGCGTCAGATTTGCGGATTTCACACCAAGATGCTTACTTTCAAAGTTGTAATTTAGGACAGCAGAGTGTCAAGTAACACCAGCTGACGTGGTGTCCTCTTCACTGTGTGATGCGCGTTATTTATTTTTTATTATTTTCAAATATTTAAACAGCCCCGTTTTATAATAAAGCCAACCAAACTTTACACAAATTGTTGGTAGGCCTAACTCACGTTTTACAATGTCACAGGCTATGTGTAGCTGTATTGTAAATTCGCGGGAATGTCAGTTGCTTTACTAAAATATATTATTCAGTATAATTAGAGATGAAAATGTCAGGAAGAATAAAAGAACATACATCGTATAATCGAGATTATTTATTTATAAATTAGAAAAGTATAAAACATCACTAGTGTTTCAATTGCTTCTTGCTTTTAAGAGATAACATAATAATTTATAATAACTAATCAATCCAACTGATTATTAAACATTTAATATTTTTAAAAATATGTAATGCTATTAAGTAGACTTAATATTTAGGTACTTTATTATAATTAAAAATTAATTTTGAAAATCACATAAATAACGATAGGTAGTTTGACATATTAAACAGTGCAAAATTAGATCATAAAAATGAGAGAACACTTTAAAACCTTTAAATATTTTCAATAGCTAAAAAATAGCACGATGTATTATTTATAAATGAAAAATAAACTCAAATGACAATTCGATCTGCAAAGAACTTTCCTAAATTAATTAATGTTTATTGAGCCGTAAGACTTGTATTGTAGAGAAGTTTTACTACACATTTTAATGTTACTTAAAATATTCCGATGCAAAATATTCCGATAAAAGCAAAATGATACCTATTATCTCTTTGATCTTACATTGAAATAACATATATATATATATATATATAATACGCATAAAATTTTAAAGTAAATTTTCATATTTAAAAACCAATATTAATTAAAATTTATATTTCAGACGTCAAAGACCGAAGATTTATTAATATTAAAAGAATATTTAACCTTAAATAATAATTACTTCGATGAGATCCAAGTAGACAATGTGATCAAACTTTTCCATAATCGTAACTTTGCTATTATATCCGGTTATCAATCATTAATAATTTTAAAAAACAAGATTGAAGGAAATGTATTTATTTCTGATGATGCACTTCTAAGTTTTAATATTGCATTTGTAATGAGAAAAGGTTTTCCATATAGAAGAGAAGTAAACGAAATGTAAGATTCTTCTTGTAATTTTAATCATCGAAATAATTATAATTTATGTCTTTTTTATAATTTACAAATATTTTATGTTATATTTAGATTATCGTATTGGCTTGCAGCTGGAATTATTGGAAAAGTGTTTAAATTTCTTGGTGAAGATAATGTTGGTAATGAAATTGCAGCTCAGGAAAACAAGCCGTTGAAATTAAACGAAGTTGGTGGTGCTTTCATTCTACTGTTTATTGGATATATATTATCTTTTTCGTCCCTTCTTTCGGAGCTTCTGATTGCCAAAATCATAAAAAGAAATCGTCCTGCACTGACACTCTAATGAAGATGAATTTACGAACTGAAACTCTCTTTTCTCCTGAAATGCACTTATTCTAGTTTAAATTGAGCTTTAAAATAGTAACTATTTTCACATCCCTATTGCACATTTATCGCGAAATAATTCAAGTTTTTTAAAACAAATTTAAAAATTCTACTCGTGATCAGAAAGTATCAGGAATGTTTTTATAAAACGCATGATTTGAATTTATTCTTCAAAATTTATTTTGTCTCCTACAAAGGAATCCCCCTCCTCTCCAATGCACTAATGCTAACGTTTTTTCGCTAATTCATTCGGAACAGCAAATTTTGTTTTATGGCATCGATTGACTCAAAACGGTACCACAGAAGTCGAGGAAACGGAAAAACGTCAAACTGTGTCACATCGGGTAAATATCGGAACCGACTATGTTGAATGTTTGGCCAAGATGTTCACCAAAAACAATAGCAATGCGACCGGTTGCCTTTTTGTGGTGAAAATTCTACTAGTCTTTTCGCCACAAATTGGATTGTTTTCTGCAAATTGCTTCGCGCAAACTAAGCAAAACGCTCAGATAATATTCCTTGTCGATTTTTTGGCTGATCGGAAAGAATTCGTGATGGATGACATCGCGACAATAAAAAAAAACAGTCAAGAAGACATTCCTTTTTTGACGAACTTTGACGTGGACTTTCCGGTATGGCTTCACTTTTCGAGTGCCATCCATTCGATTGTCGACCTGTTTCCGTGTCAAATCGTTCATCTATGTTTATTCACCCGACATTTCGAAGAATATCAGGCTCAACACTTTTTCCCCACACAAAACAAAAATCGATTTTGCTAACGATAACAGACGATGACGTACTGAGTGCTGTTGCAAGTCGATGATAGTCGTAGGAAGACTCGACAAAAACCACGATAGTGCCGGATCGTAAGTGAACAGTTTAAATAAACCATTCTGTAATCATGACCAGAGTAGAATATTATATATTATGTAAAAAAATAATAATATAATCTTTATATATAAAGCAAATAATTGCTGTGAATGAGTGTTTTGCACAGATGATTTTGCAAGTATAAATTCACGACCTTTACACTTTAAAAAATAATAACTATCGGAAACTGAAACTATTTTTCGACTGAAGATGTAATACTGTACAAGATATTCTCTGCTACAGCAAATTGGTTCTCACAATGAAATAAACCCAATTTTGATATAATTCATTATGTATTACCAGTTCATTATATATATATTTATTTATTTATATGGGGAACTATAATTTATACGGGGAAGGTCGGAAAGATGGGGTATTGGCTGCATTGCTGGTAATAATTTCTGCAGTCACTTATTAGTAAATATTGTAAATCAAGATTTTAAACTGCTGTTTGTTGTTTTGTGCAATTCTGCTATGAAGACTATAACACGTTTTACACTTGGATAGTTAAATGTTAGTATAATTTGTTACGTTTTTAAAAACATTGACATGTAAATGGAGCAAAATGTTTTCTTTGATTCTTTAAACTCTCTTCTGTAGAGAATTTTTAGCATTACATGGGTATACAAATTACTTTTAAAAAATATTGATTACAAAACACTTTCAGCAAGAATACAGTACAGAGATGATATTTACTATTTTTGTGCCTTTGTCTTTAAAAAAATAAAATAAAATGAACTTACTATAATATAATAAATAAAATAATACTTATTATAAAAATGCTTATAATAGACTCTAAATGTTGCTTTATTTGATATAATTCTGCTGGTTTGATATAATATTAATAATTATAAAAAGTAAATTTAATTTCAGAGAGCTATTATTTATTGTTACATCGTCACAATGTCGGGTTGCAATTTTTAATCATATTTTTAATTTATTTCATTTAAAATATATGCTGGTTGGTTGGTTGGTACGAGTTTTCTGGCACAAGGGCCATTCAGGCCTTGCTGCGCCATGGCAAAAGGTAAAAAAAAATAAATAAATAAACAAAATATATATAACAAAATATAGATACAACACAGAAACATGAATAAGTTCAATTAAACAAAACAACAAAACAAGTATAAATATATAAGATATAAATAAGTATATGAATACTTGATTAAATCTCTTTATAAATATTTACAACTTCTAAAAAGTTCAGTATCTTATCAAGATTTAGCCTCTGTCCCAAAATCTCACTCAAACTTGCATTTCCGAAAAGCTATATACGACATTGATCAAGAGCAATGCAATTGCCAAGTATGTGTTTAACACTTACAGTACAATTGCAATACTGACATACCGGTTGATCATCACCTTTCAAAAGGTATTGATGAGTCAGTCGAGTGTGTCCAATTCTCAACAGAGTAAGGACTACCTCAGATCTCCTATCATACTGCCAATTATGTGTCCAATTTGCTATTATCGATTTGATCTCATGTAGTTTATTGTAGATTTGTGCATTCCACATAACTTGCCATCTCTCTGCTAGTCGTTTTTTAACGACTAGTTTCAAATCCCCTCCTTCAGTATGCATTGTATGCTGTGGAAGACTAGCTGACTTTGCAGCTGCGTCAGCATCTTCATTTCCTTTTATACCTACATGGCCTGGGACCCAACAAAATTTTACAATGAAATCATTCGCAGTAAGATAGCAAAACAATTTACGAATTTTAATCACTATAGAGTGAGAACTAGGTTCACATGAGATCAAAGCCTGAAGTGCACTAACTGAATCAGTGTAAATCACGCAGCAACGATGACCTTTTCTAATTTCATACTTTAAGGCTAAGTGAATAGCGTGCAGCTCTGCAGTAAAGATAGATGAATTCGATGTAATTTGCTCCGCCACGATTTCATCCTGGCAGACAAAGGCTGAGCCAACGTAATCATCCGATTTAGAACCGTCAGTGTAAATAGGAATCAAATTCCTGTCATTGTGTTGGATTTCTAAAAAGTGCTGTCTGTAAATGTAGTCTGGAGTAGATTCCTTCGAAAACTGCTTTAAGCAGAAGTCAACATTTATCACAGTAGTTGACCAATGTGGTATACTATCAACCTCGGCCTGTAAAATGTTACTTGTGTTCAGGTCAATCGTGCTGCTTACATTCTCCATTCTTATGGCAAATGCAGGGACACTACTTGGATGAGCTTCAAATAGCCTTTTCAGCTGAGTATCTGATACTGTACAATCAACTGAAGGTTTCGTATGAGATTTCTGTTTTATATAATAAAAAAAAAGACAACTGTTTTCTCCTAAGAGATAGTGGAGGCTCATAAGCCTCCACATACAGACTTTGTACAGGAGAGGTGTGAAAGGCATTAGTGCACAAATGTAGAGCTTGATGATGGATTGGATCCAGCATCCGAAGGGTAGATTCTCGTGCAGAGCCATAAAAAAATGCATCCATAGTCCAACTTCGAGCAGACAAGGGCCCTATAAATCCTGAGCATGGAACATTTGTCTGCTCCCCAGGATGAGCAGCATAATACCTTTAGAAGGTTCAGAGATTTTAAGCATCTACTCTTCAGCTTGCGCAAGTGTGGCAAGAATGTCAGTTTTTGGTCGAAAGAAACACCTAAAAACTTAGCCTCATTCACCATTGGAATTTTATCCCCATTTAAATAAATTTCAGGATCCGTGTGCAGTCCACGCCTTTGGCAAAAGTGGATGCACCAGGTCTTTGTTGCATTAAATGTAAAACCATTGGTCTTGGACCAATCGTATATGCGATTTAGGGAGGTTTGCAGTTCTCTCTCAATGAAACTCATATTACTAGACTGGCAGGAGATCTGAAAGTCATCCACATACAGAGAGTGTTTCACACTGGGAGAAAGACAGTTAGCTATGCTGTTGATTTTGATTAGGAACAGAGTCACACTCAAAATACAACCTTGAGGAACACCTTCTTCTTGTGTGAAAGGCCTAGATAAAGTGTTGCCCATCCTGACATGGAATCTTCGATTCTGCAGGAAGTTTTTTATAAAAATTGGCAAGTTACCTCGTAATCCGAATTGGTACAGATCACGAAGTATTCCGTATCGCCAGCAGCGATCGTAGGCCTTCTCTATATCAAAGAATACAGACACTAAGTGCTGTTTTCGAACAAACGCTTCGCGAATAGATGTTTCAAGGTTTACTAAATTGTCTGTGGTACTTCTGTTCCTACGAAATACACTCTGTTGAGGTGAAAAGTAGTTCTTTTCCTCTAGGAGGAACATCAGGCGTCTATTTACCATCCTCTCAAAGAGTTTACACAGGCAACTTCTCAGAGAGATTGGTCTGTAATTAGAGGGATTCTTGTGGTCTTTACCTGGTTTGGGAATGGGAATAATGATAGATAGCCTCCAAGAGTCAGGAAAAGTATGTTCTGTCCATATTCTGTTAAACAGATGCAGGAGATTAAAAAGGGAATTGTTCGAAAGATTTTTAATCATGCTGTAGTGGATTTTATCCGGGCCTACAGCACTATTCCCTGAG